GAGAGAGAGAGAGAGAGAGAGAGAGAGAGAGAGAGAGAGAGAGAGGCCCCGGCAGCTGGGTTGGAACAAGGGGCTGCCCATCCCCATCCCGGACTTGCGACTCCCAAGGGCCAGGGGTCTCGACACAGAGTGCGAGTGCCACACAGAGGCACCACGGAGAGGGCATTTTAATGTCACTCCGAAGCAACCCGCCCGGAGCTGTCGCGCTCTTGCCAAAGCAGCCTCCCAGCTGGGAGCTCACAGACAGCCCTGCTCTGAGACCTGCCTCCAGAGCCGCATTTTAAAAATGGAGAACACCAACCCCAGACACACACTCCGGTACATCGTCCAAGGATGAGGAGCGCCGGGCATCTCCAGCGTCCCAACATGCACAGAGCTCATCACTCACGCCTCAAGACGCGTGTGTGGCCACAGCCCCCTCGAACCCCCCACAATCAGCTAACAATGCACCCAGCGCTTCGCAGCTGCCCTTCCAGGGCTCCGTGGCACCATGCCCACGCGGGGGGGGGGGGCGTTGTGCCCCAAGCAACGGACGGGCCACCTAGGGGGGTGTGTTGGGAGGCAGGAGTTCGGGACCTCGACTGGCAAGAATGCCCGGGGGCTCGGCTATCGCCTCTGTCTCCCCCCCAGATGAAAACCCCAGGAAACGGAGCCCTCAGGCTGCCCTTTGAACTTCTCAGCCGGAGTGGGGGGTCCTAGGAAAGGGGCCGCTGTGCGCCGCTGGGCCAGGTCTGCGGGACCCGGGTCTAGATCAGCCCGCAACCCTCCCCGAGACCCAGCGTCTGCCATCACTCTGGCCCCCTCCGCAGCCCCAGCCCCAGCCCCCGCGGCCCGCAGCCCAGCCGGGGACAGCTCCCCGACTTCGCCCGGCTCGGGGTGGCCCTGACAGAGGAAAATGGCGTTGGCTGCACGTACTTGGGTGAGTTCGGTGCCCATCACGAGGAGGACCAGGAGGCTGAGGAGCTTCCGGGCCGGTTGCATGTCTCGCGGCCGCTCGGGCGTCCTGGCGTGCGGGGCCTGGGAGCTGGCGGTGCGGGGACGCGGACGCGCTCCCGGCTGGGGCTCCGGCCGCGGCTCGGGCTCAGCTCAGCAGCCGGGGCGGGCGGCGCGCGGACTGAGCTGCGCCGAGCCTCCGCTCTGCATATTTATGGTCCCG